ATCCCGTCTAAAAAAAAAAAAAAAAAAAAAAAAAAAAAAGTGTTATCAGGCAAATGGAATTTTCATCTTAAATTTCGGTTGCTTCTATGCATTTAAAAAACAGTGAAATAATGACTATAGATAATGATAATACACTATACATTTCAAAAATCTAGGATTTTGAAATTTTCACTTTAAGCTAAAAATTTTTTAAAGCTAAATCAAAAATACCTGTGAAGTACACAACTATATTTTTCTGTCTTAGTATTTTTGCATGAGTCAATTAAAATACTGTGACGTATTTTGGTTTTTGGTGTAAAAGTGGACTCGTAGCTGGACCCCCCCCCATAACATTCTCAGTATCAGTGGCTATAGGATTCCTTCCTCTCAAGTAGAAAGAGCCTGTAAGAACCCTTTAGTATGGTGAGGTACACCTGATTCTTGGCAGTCTGGGAGGCTGATGCAGAAAGATTGCAAGTTCAAACCCAGCATGGGCAAGTTAGCCAATTACAAAGAACTTGTCTCAAAAAAAGAAGTTTTTTTAGAAAGGGCTGGGGATGTAGCTCTGTGGGAAGGCCTGGATTCAAACCCTCCCCAGTACTGCAAAAACAAAACAAAACCTTGAGACTGTGAAGAACTTGGGACATTGCACTCTGAGCAGATTCAAGCTAGGTGAGATTAGTCCTTTCCAATTATGATCCTTTCTGTGGTGGGCAGAAGGATCCAGACAGACGCTGGTGAGAGGCAAGGCCTTTCACTGCAGTGATAGAGGAAAGTTTTAACAGGCAGCGCCTGAAGTCTCCCTTCTTCTGGAAGAGTCTGCCAACCCCAGCAAAAGGCGCTCAGTGTAGAGATGAGCAAGTCTTGCCAAAGCAGCACGAAGATGTCACGAGCAGTCAGGTGGGTCTCTTCCTAGATGTCTTCAGTTTTCCCCAATTCTCCAGCTCTGTGCCCTCGCACCTGTTCCTGTAATATCCAGGCTCTCTTCCCTGACCCCTGCCTGGCACTCCATGCCCTGGGGCAGCAGTGAAAGCTACAGTGAAAAGGCTGGTGAGGGTGACCAGCACACACACTCACTGGGCTGTGCTCCTCCAGGAGGAAGCCTCCTCCTCTGCAGGGAACTGGGACCCGAAAGGCCTGAATCTCCCTCTTGCATGGTAAGTGGTGACTGACCCCAGAGCCCTGAGCTACATCCAAGCTCTTTTCATCTGTTCTTGAGACAAGGCCTCCCTAAGTCACTAAGTTGCCCAGACTGGGCTCAAATTTGCAATCTTCCTGCCTCAGCCTCCCAGGGTACTAGGATTACAGGCATGTACCACCATGGCCAGATTTTTTATAAAGGAGACCACACTGCTGTGGTCAGTCAGGAGGGCTGAGAAGGGCAGTGTTTTCCCTCTTGGGGGACACAAGGAAGGCAGAGAAGGGGAAAGTGTGGATAGGCTAGGCCAGTTGGACATGCAGAAGCCTTTCCTGGGCCCTGCTATGGTGTGAGGCGCACAGGTTCCATTTTTCTCTCGGGGTTTGGTTTGGTTCTTAAAGCTGAGATAGGAATCCCACTGGCGTTTACACAGCAGCCTTCCCACGGAGGAGGCAGGCAGTACAGAGGAGAGGGAAGGGAAAGGGGCTAGGTGTCAGGTTTGAGGTGCTAGGTGGGGGCTGAGGGAAGCCTCTGGGGAGAGCTAGACATGTTGGGCTGAGGAGGCCTGGGGCACTCTGTCCACAGCTGTCATCGTGAGAGCTCCATCCTTCCAGCATCCTGGGATCCCTCCAGGATGCCCATCACATAGGCAGTGGGTTCCTTCAACTCAGAGTCCCCACCCACCCGCAACCAAGGAAGCTACTGCCAGGACAGCCCCTCCCCACTCCTCCTCAATGAATTAGTCAGCAGAACCACAGGAAGAGTTATGAGGCCCTCAGGAAGCTAAGCTGGTGGCCTCATTTTACAGATGAGAAAGTTGAGGCTCGAGAAGTAATTCACCCAAGGTCATGCATTGCTGGCTAGTGACCTGTTTTCCAACTTCTGAGGACTCCAATCTTCCACGGACCTGAGACAAGACACTTCTGTCTGTGCAGGGAAAAGGGCAATACTCTGGAAAAGGTGGATTTCCCAGAGGTCATCCCCACTCCCTGCCACCAACACACAACAGACATACTTTGAAAATTAGCTCATATGATCTTCGAGCTATTCACTATCAATCACCAGACTTAAAGAGTCTGGATAATAAAAAAGGCAGTTAATGTCACCATTCTAGGGAAGGAGGGCTTGGCACCCACATTCAGCCCCAACACCAGCACATAAAGCCTCAGAAACAATTATGTAACTGCACCAAATGGAGAACACGAAAGAACAGTATGTATAAGGCAGAGAAATCATGGTTTGGGGGGGGCAGCGGTTCTGGGTTCAAGTCTTGAATCTATCTCTTGCCATTTGTGAGAATTAAGACAAATTTATTTGGGTGAGGGTAAAGAGCACAGAATATTTGTCAATCTCGTTAAGCCTCAATTCTTCATCTAGGGTTGTTGGATGATAAAAGAAAATTTAAATGAGTGCAAAGATTATAAATGGTAGTTTTTTATTCTGCAACAGTGTAAGTATTTCTAAGATTGAAATAAAATCCAAGACTCAAGAGCCCACTGGGTGAAGCTCTCCACCACTACTGCACCCACAGAGGTAGCAGAGGGGCAACTCCCACTCTGGTCCTACTTGGGACCCGTCGAACCCTGGGCAGCAGCACCTGCTGCGGTGGCTGAGGAGGTGGAGGAAGCTCCACAGACAGCTCACAGAAGACTGTACGGACAGCATCCTCCAACCATAGCGGGGCCCCGTGAGTCTGTGTGACGTTACAGCAATCTGTTCACCCAGCATGACACAACAGTGGTGAATTAGGTGGTTTCTCTACTCGTCAGGGGACTTCAGTAAGCAAATTAACTGGTCTGAAGTCACAACTATGTGACTGGTATGTCATTTGAGTCCGTGCTCCTCCAAGGCTGGACTTGACTCTCCCACCTGCCCAGACTTAGAGGCTCCCTATATGCCCTCCGGAGTGGGCTGCACCGGGGGGAGCCTGGCTGAAGAGGGACCACCCCTCTTGGGCTTCCCAGAATGTGGACTTGGTATTCCCTAGGGTTGTGGTCCCCACGACCTGCACACAGGCCTCCAGCCTCAGCCCCTACTTCCTGCCTGCACATCCTGGGTCTGGGCTGGCAGGTGGGGTGCTCCCCAACACCCTCAGGGAGCATTTATTCCCGTCGGGAATTTCTTCTCACTCTTACCTGCCTTCTCTAGAATGTAAGCTATGTAACAGAAGGGACCATGTCTCTCCTGTCTTACTCCCAGCCTCCAGTTCAGTTCAGCATTGAGTAAATCTTTAATACTTAAATGGAAAGCTCTTTGCTTAGAATTTTTTTGTATTCATTAATTTTCTTCATGGCACTGGGCATGTACTTTGTCCTCCAACACATTTTCTCCCTTATTTTCCTAATAGCCATCTACCATTCAAAGCCCAGCTCGGCTCTCATCTTGAAAAAGTCATTCCTGGGGCCAGGGATTTAGTTGTTCTGCCGCCTGCTTTGCAAGTACAAGGACCTGTGTTCCATCCCTGGTACCAAAAAAAAAAAAAAAAAAAA